AAGTTTTCAATGCTGTTATATCGATCTGTACACAATTCAAAGACACGATTGGTAAACTTATCACAGACTGCGTATTTCACCATGCAATTGAAATGCTACTAAAATTTCAGACAGCTTTTTGTCATTTTAATCCCAAAATTTGCCACTGATAACTAAATTTTATAAAACGCATTTGACCTGAAATTTTTCCCCTCTTTTTCCATGGATAGCGATGGAATGCCTTTATATTCTCATCCTGGTGATTTCAGGTAACGTGTTGTGTATTTTAGATGTAAAAATGAATCAAAGACAGTGATCTTCATAGACCAAGGAGAATTCAAGTATTACTTGAGGATTTTTAAAGTTACTTTGTTTAGCTACCTTCAAAACTATTATAGCTTCACTGCACTGAGACACTGTTTTACCTCGCTCGTGGTTCACCCTTGGCCATGGCCGGTTAGACATATCCAGTAGAGGCTGTCCAAAGATTGCATCTTGTCCACGCCGAAATAAAAGAGAAAATCTTTAACGAGAACTACAGTAATCATGGGTGGAAACACAGGATTGTTATCTTTTACATATTTTCAACTTGTTCATTTAGTTTTTCATTTAGAATATGTCATATGAATTTGAAAGATTTGCTCTTCTTTCAGGAACAACAGCTAAGAAAGAAAGTCCCAGAGAAATCCATATCTCAGGGCAAGCTTCAAAAGCCGCAACTAAACAAGTCCAGTTAAAACGGGACTTTCTATATGGACAGCAATCCCTGGCCGGCCCAGTACCTGTGTACGTTCAGCCCGTAACGAGATGGAACAGCCAATTTATGCGACAGGAAAGAGGTGACAACCGTGGATTTGTGGCGCAACTGACATCAAGGCCTGCTGTTCAGTCCATTCCATCTCTTCCTTCCGTAAATTCGAGTTTTAAAGAAAATCAGTTCAACAGGAGTGCTGAAAAAATGCAACCTCGGGAAACAAAGAAACCTGTTCTGCCTCATATTATTTATTCAACAAAAGGTAGTGAAAATGCTTTGTTGCGTGAATTGAATAACGGTGTAGTCTAGAGGAACTAAATCAGTTCCTTACGACTAACTTAGTAATGCTCTTCTTTATCTTTCGAGGAAATTTGGGTGGAAAAAAAAAGAGGGCGATATTTTTAATGAAACTGAAAATAAGTTTCCAATTGTATGAAATGAACGTTTGTTTATAGTTAAATTGAGACTGAAAAAAATGAGATGAAATCTGGTTTAAGTCGT